GTCGGATTGGTATGCATACATAGGGAAAAAAAGAGAATTTCCAGGAAGTGGGAGAAGTTTTCAGAGATAGAAGGAGGCTGGGACTACCATGGGAAAGACCGGATACACAATCACATCATGAACGAGAGGGAACTCTTGCTAACAGCAATCTTTTCAACATTCGATGCCGAGAACATCAGCTTATAAATTTACTAATTTCAACAGAAATTATTACAGTAATCTTCAGTGAGGAAATTCCTCAGAAGCAGTGTATGGGCATTATTAATGGACCTCAGGTTAAAGTCGTGTTCATACTACTCGGCAATGGAAACTTTCTTGACCTTTGCAGAGACAGCATGCGACAGTCGGCTTTTTCAGATATCTACTTAAAGGATAAAAAGAGTGGACACCTATAAAAATCTCTTTAGGATGCGCCACGCATTCTACTTCTATTCAGCTTTGTGTTTTCCTTTGAGTGCGGTTTGGTTCACACAATGAATTGAGGGAGTTAGCCTATGAACAAGATCTTTTTCACTGATCATAACTTGTTCACAGGGAGTGCTCACTTGATCGGCATCTTCTGTGTCCCTGATCTCACCAACCTTAAAGGACGAATTCACGATGAAAAAGCAACCCATTTCAAATTAACCTAGGGATGGTGAGTGGTACACGAAAGAAGGAAGAACCATGAGAAACGGCCCAGAACCCGAGAAATGGGACCCCTTCCTTGCCCGTTGATTTGAGCATTGATGCGACTCTCATCGCTGTGCCCTCTTCAACACTACGCTCTCTCAGCTATCTAATCACTCGCCACGTATTGAACTACGGCGAGTGATCAGATGATCGGTGGGCGGAGATCGCCGGACCCGCCAGCTTTGAGGCATGATAGGTCGCCGAGGTCAAATTTTTCCATGCGAATTGCGCGTCAGTTCGCACCCTCAGGAGGTCCGTGGGTCCCTCAACTAGGTCAGTTTCCCTTTCTTCGACCTTCATTCTAATCGTGAATTCCTCCTTTAAGTCGGCTGCCCACCACGACGAAGTATAACGATAGCCAAAAACATGATAAACAACTTAAAGTCACAGTGTGCCATTAATCGGCCAATGAGATAAGCGTGAGCTTACCTTAACAGTTATCGGTGCGAACACAGCAGCGATTGCAACCGGGAACAGAACTCTCCTAGTGAAACATGCAATTGGATTCGGCGTCATGAAGAACGCTATTGAAACAAGGCACAGCATTGCTAGACCTGAAAATCTCGGAATTGCTGGAAAATTGGTGGACTGGATGATGCCAAAAGTACAAATCGTGGACCCGAGCGTTATAAAATGCGCAAATTAAGCCGAGCCCTTCAGCCCCGTTTTATGCCATGGTAAACGCTTTCATATCCGAATATTGTTCTATTTTTTAATAAATAACTACTACCTTCGTCATGTCAGGCGCCACCCTTAATATACTTCTGTACCTCCTACCCTTCTCTAGCAGAAGCGCTTGAACTTCCAGTGCCGAAAGGGCTAACCAGACATTGTTCAAGCAGTTTTGGCTAAGACGCGAGCTTATGAAGGAACCGTGTCTAACTGAACAGCGAATGCAGCATCCACTCGACAATATTTGAGCAAGAGAGCACGAAAGAGAGCAGAAATTGACGCAATTCGAATGGCTCGTTCTAACTTCACAGCAATTTTGTCCGCGCTATCATATTTCTTGCGGACACAAACGTAGATCTAAAATCTCCACCATGCAATTTGAGCCACTGGGGTTTAGAAAATAGAGATCTCGAAAGTAGGTGAGATACGATCCACGAAAAATCTTAAGAGACGTATTTTGCTCAGGGAGGGAGGGAAGGGGGGATGATAACATCAGCGAGAGAACGTATACAACTGTGCAACTGGATGTATGAAGGCCAAAAAGAGGTACATCGGAACGCCGATCAAGGGGGATGGGTGGTCCGACGCGGCCACTTCCTTGACGTAATAACGCAAACGATTTTCACCGTATTTCTACCGGGTTACGATGATAGCAGACAGCTAAGGATTTCCTACCTCCAAAAGTGAATGCCGTACAAATCCGGTACGTCTCGTTGGTGCAAATCACTTGTTGATACATACACATCAAGCAAATAAAGGACGCCAAAACTGAAAGAAGGAAATTTATCCCTGACGGTGGACCCGCGAAAATGATTTATCCCACCTGCACATATTGTGTAGACCAGAACTGTGACACTTCTCAGAGATTCCCGGAAACTTGACGAGATCGCTGTTTGTGAGCGTCGTGCAAAGTCCGCTGAACATTTTGATCTGAAAAGACGAAAAAATAAGGAATGATTGCAGTGTCCCATAAGTCGCGCATGAAAAGTATCGTGTCCCTTGGATTTTTTCTATGGGGTTGCAAGCACCTATTCATACATACCTCGGACAAGTGGATCGCAGAGGTACCCTAGGTTCCGTCTCTTTCTTCCATTACCAATGCGGCAGCTCCGGTATAGGTAAAGCCAAACAGGGGGTTCCACTCGGCAATCGGCTCGTATTCCAGTTGAGCATCGAACAGCACTCGGTTGATTACCAACGTATGGTCACGAAATGACGTCGTCTCGTTGAATGATATCACTGGAAATGCAATTCCGCAAGCATTTTCTTCACACTTCAGTCGTACAGTAAATTAAAAACCAAGGAGCCGTGATGTGAGGAAAAAGCGCCATAGCACAAGCTCATGACCGCGAAATTTTTAACGTGCTGTGAAAAGATAGGATGGCATCGTTGAGCTTTCATTTTTTTTCTGAAGGCAGCGATTACGGTGGCTAGGAGGCGGAGTCTAACCTGAGGACGTCATTGGTGGATGAAGCCAAGGAGGCGGTTTCGACCACACCCCTTTAGTGTGCTGACCAATAACGTCCCCAGACTGACCCCGCCCACTCACCATCACTATCGCTGTCTTTATTCGTCTCGTCATCATCTTCCAACACAGACTGAAGACAAAAGCGTCAAACACCACAAACGTTCATTGGAGAGTTGGTGGGAGAACTGAAGGGAGAGCATCGAGGTGAACAGCAAATCCTGCGGATCATTGATACAATCGCTGAGGCGTTGAATGAGGGCACCTGAAAGTAACAATAAGCTCTCGGAATGGTGCGCCGAAAGGGAAAGTCATAAAATTCAAAAGAAAACTCAATACCCAACTATCATCATAAGTGCAGTACACAACTTAAAAGAGCCCAAGAAGTTTTGTCCTCATAGAAAGTGGACTAAGCACCGAAGTACCAAGCACTTTGTTCTGGTCAGTGTAGCATGTGAGATGCGCCACGCACCTGGTTACCATCGAGAATCGGATATGAGTATTTCGCCCAACAGTGGCTTACAGGCCTAGCGATGAACATCACCGAATTTTTGACTTATCAAATGATTCTCGTGATGATTTACTGACCATATAGAAGGATGAAGGCCAAGTTTGTCTGGAGGTAGCCGTGTATAAAATTAGATCTATGGACCTCGCGCTATGATTGGCGGTATTCGGCACTATTCTTGATCGCCTTTTTCCGGAAAAGTTGTAAAAACTAGTCCGGACGAAAATGAGCGTTCTCCACGAATCTTTTATGCCCAAATTTTACTTTTATTCCTGTGAAAGTTGAAAACAACTACTTTTCTATTGAATAAAGACATCGACGTTTGGAGGGAAAATAGCGCAGTAGCTACATGCCTCGCTTTTAGTGCGAACACACTTGCGAATCGAAGCCAACCTTCAACTCAGACTAACCACGCCTCCCTCCGTAGATTTTAAGAAGAGATCGTTCAATTTTAGCCAGCATGCGTGGAGGAAATAATCACTGAAACATGTTACTGCCGGCATATATGTATGAAAACCAAGCACGGGCCTTCAACAGATTCTACGGTTTCGAATGGTAATCGGATTACTGGCGCATCTCATAGGACGAAAATGATAGAAGTTAGGTAATTTAGCCTTCTGGGCTCCGTTTAACGCGTGGTAAGCAGTGCAAATGGCACTGCTTACCACGCGCACGATCCATTGACCAAATAATCTGGTTAAGGCGCATCCGAGCCTACCACCTTCGGGGTCGGTTAATAAGTGCCAAACTTGTCTAGGAAGATAGGAGCAGTACCTTATATGCGCATCGGTTGGCCCTCGCAATCATCGTGTAGACAGAATGGCATTCGAAGTACCACTGCGATTCTAATTGGAAACAAAATGCTTGGCGCTAAGCATTAACGCCGAATACTTTATCCTTTATTTCTTATGGCGCCGCGATGACTCAACGCCAGGCAAAACCATGACGCGCTTGATTCGTGCCAAGGGCGAAGAGATGGTCGGAGCCGCCCATTCAGACTCTGCTGCAATTAACAAATGCGATGGATCTACAGTTACTTCTTACACTAGGATAGCAGAATTCCCCAGCCGAAATAGGGAATATAAAACCACTTTCATTATTAATTACTTTATAAAAAAGCTTCACAAAAAGTCCCGGAGACAGCGCACCTGGACACACGTTGTCAACCATCTTCCTGGTGGCATGAGCAATGGCGCTTACCTGAATCAGGACAAAATGTATTACTTCTAGGTAACTTTTTGAAGTGAAAAATAACATAAAACTTTATACCGCGATCGAAATCGGGCCGATGTCAAGATCAGGAGCAATGGCGGTGACGTTTAGCGTCTGCTGGTGGGAGCATTCCCTGAAAATGACCAGATAAAAGAGTCACCCTAATCAAATTGTGAAGAGAAGCTTCTCAAAGCGGTTACAAACAGTACTTGGAAAACTGTTGTCCGGCGACCGATTCGCCATCAATGTGACACTGAAATGCTGTGGCCCAGAACTGCTTCAACCAATGTTGCGGAAACGGTAAGGTGGCAATTTTGGAGGTGAGTTCGAGCAGATGCTGCGGTTGAACGGTTTTCTCTGGTGTTACCTGAATTATTTGCAAAGAAAGATGTGAATTTTCGATGTTCGCAGATATGGCAACAGGTCATAGTACAATTTCGTGCCCACTTGCAGTTTCAATTCGATTTTGCGCGCTGGAATTTCGTGTCTGCTTTGCACGCAATACGCACCGCACCTACGTCACATGAGCGTGGGAAAAATATCTGCAGCGCGACCGCGCGCGCAAATGTCACCGGGTGGCCATTTTAAAGCAGTCTATCCATATTCGTGGCTCAAATTCGATCTACAGAAGTGACCGCTTTTCGCGATGACGTTTTGCTACACACCCATATCCCAGTCTAAATTGAAGTTGTTGACGTGGACCGCTCTGCCCACCTCTATCGCGTCACCTGGTTGTCGGCTCTTGATCGGGACACTATCATTTTTGTATATGCTTCAACCTTGACTACGAACTCACATGAACGCATTAACGACAGCCCGTTGTGCGCTTAGCTATGCATATTTTTGTTGATTTTTTCCCTGCTAATAGTCATTACTCCATCAATAACTCCACCAGAAGGGCGGCAGTGGTGTTGTGGCAAGTGGCGCGCGGTCCGGGGATCAATCCTGGGTCGTGAGTCGCCCGGGCCAACCAAGCCTTCCATCCCTCCGGGGTCGGTTAATTGGTACCAGACTTGTCTGGGAGGATAAAAACACTGACTTGTACATCGGCTGGCCCCCGCAAGTCATTGTATAGGCCACATCGCATTCAAACGCCACTACGAATGTACAAATGGAAGTAGAATGCGTGCCGCATCCCAAAAAGGGATTGATCAACGGCAAATGCTTTATCCTTTTTATCCTTCCACTAGTCGGTGGAATCGGTGAAAATCGGTGCAACGCTT